AGAAACACGCAAAGTACGCAAAACAAACCGATGAATAATAACAATAATAATAATAATAATATTAAAACCATATTACCTTATATTCTTGTATATTATAACAATATGCTATATACATTAGGGATGAGAAGTTAAATAAATTGAAAATTTTTTTCCATGTCTTTTATCTATATGAGCTAAAAATCTATTTCATGACGTAGTAAGTTCATACATGTGTTTTTATTTGTTGCATATTTTGGTAATTCTTTTAAGCACGGATATGATTTTTGAGCATATTTATTCATTTTCAGTAAATTTTTAGTCTATCGTATAAAGCAATTAGCGAACAAAAAACATGTGGTTTCAATAATACAGCGTATAATATATTCAATGCAACAAATTCGTAGATGTGAAAAAAAGTTTAAATGCGAGRATAGTGTCACTATATTTTCGAAAATATATAATATTTATTTAGATTTGTTGAAGTTTAAGCCATTGTAAAAATATTTATTAGGACAATCGTTGTTGACGTTGTCATTAAGATTTTTAAAATACTTAAATGTTCAATGCAACAAATTTATATTATAATAGATTATACTATATTACTTTAGTATCTATCAGAATGTAAATTTCTATTGCATATAATAATTATAATCATATTTTACCTCTAACTACTCATAGGTATCTAGTTATAATCATTATTGCAGCAGCCAGCAAACAAAGAACAAGTTACGCATAGACAACATATTTTGTATTTTACAGTCAGTACACAAATATTGCGATCCTTTATTTTACCACCATCATAATAACTATAAATTCTATAATAATATTCGAGACTTTAAGAAAACATCATCATTCTGTCATTATATTAATGAACTGAAGAATTAATTTGAGTAATAGATGAAAACATATGTTATCATTAAGTATTGTTACTAAATTAGCCTAATTAGTACATTGCACGCAAACTATAGACAGGTTACATAAAAAATTCTAAAAATAAACAACTTGACTTAGATAAATGTTTTTACCGTCTAAATTAAAAATTGTTTATATAATCAGATTTACAAATTGGCTTTTTTTAAATTGTCCAATAGAAATTGATTCAAGTCTTACAGGTTTAATTTCAGTTTCAAAAAATAAAAATGAAAAAAATGTATACTGCAAGTATAATGTAAGTGTTTTATAAATTATACAAATTAAATATATATATATCGACAGAATATTGATTGAAATAAAAGTTATTGCATTAGTTAGTTATTTCTATTACACTCTGTATATAAGGTAATAAGATGATGATACCAGATACTTATATACCTACATACATATTATATTATTTACATTATAATATAATCGTGTATTTATAATTCACCCTATATACCTATTTAAAAAAAACTTAAATTAATTTGATTTAATTTTAAGATGTGGATACCAATGAAAACATAACTGGTTAGTGTATAAGTTTAAATTGGGACTTTTTTCTTAAAAAAAAAAAAATAATGTTAGTTTGAGAAATTGTCACAATGAAGCTCATTTTCCACAAGTTCTTATAATGAATATGTACCATCAACTATAAAATTGACCGAGCTTAATTCCATCGAAGTTATATTGAATATTTTTTTCCATCCATCCTAAAACCTTTTTGAGCCCAATTGTTGTAAAAAAAAGTCATTATATAAGCTTTGATTAGTGTACCGATTATTGCGCTTCTTAAAGTTTTTACGATCCGTATAAATCAATATTGTGCTTACTTTTAGTTTAGCTTCAGCACATGGAAAATATTAGGTTTTCGTTCAATTCAACTCCATCAACATTGATTGATCATCATACATATTATACATAAATATAAATTGTGTGTCTTCAATTATTTTAAAATCAAAAACTTATAAAGATCAATATTTATTGGTAACTGATTTAAATATTTATAGTAGTCAAAAACAAAAAAAAACTAGCTATATATATATTCTCATATTTTTCAATTACTTTTATCTGATTTGAGGGTCAATATTTATGGAGGACTTTTATGAAACGTCTTTATAACCAACATAGGTATACAAGTATGAATTTGAGTTAGCAAGTTTTCATTATCGCTATGGTTATTAATATTACGTATGTTATATTATGTCGACCTAATTGGTTCGTTGCACTGCACTAGGGCACTACTTGGGATAATACGGCGTAACACAATGATGCCAATATAATAAAATATTATAGATAATCATAACGTACAATTATCGCTCATGTTTTCCTCACATAAGACGTGTTCGTTATTGTATATTTTGATTTTATTTATAAGGGACGCTACACGGACATAATATTTTRTTTTCTCTGTCTTATATGTGCGTGACATGACAAATGTATACGCTCTGCAAATCACGTTAAGCTTCGTTAGTTTAAAAATTAGAGTGAATGAAACACCTACCATGAAACTCTATGGAAACAACAGATTATCTAGGTTCGTAGGTGGGTGGTTTTTTTACGATCGTTCGAATTGTTAGCATGTTTCGCGTATATAATATAGAGTAAGTTGAAAAATGCTCATAACTTACTCAAAAACCAAAGTATCGTAAAAAACACACACATGCGAACACAGATAATGTTTTTATAACATTATGTTTTATAATAGGTCGATTCGTTCTAAACTGCAAACTATAACAAAGCTAAACGTGATTTGCTGGTCGTAAATTTCCTACCTTAAGCACTTAGAGTTAGACGGAGACAACAGATTTCTAGCAATAGGTAGACGTTCTATTCAACTAAAATGTATTGAATATTATAATAAATATTATTGTACATAATAATTATTAGGTATTTCAGATGTAAATTAACAATGGCTATTATACACTTCTACATGTTTTAGCATAGTTTATTTGTCCATCAACCCTGAAAATTGTGACGTTTGTTATAATAAAATAGTTTGTTTCTACACAGGACATCTATGTATTACAAAAAAAAATCAAGAATTTAAAGGCATGGTCCAAAAAAATATTAAAAATTCTGAAAGTCAAAATTTGAATAGCTAAATCATTGACGAAAAATGGAGTGATCGAGCTCGGCGAATTACCTTGTTGTATAGTACCTGTAGAGTAATGGATATATATAGTAGTTCTCGGATATCAGCGAGAGTTGAGTTGTAAGTACGCTATAAAAACAGTCGTAACCCGTAATAATAGTATTGTATAATTAGTATTTGATTTAGTGTGATTTATTTTTAACATCCATATCTGAAGCACTATGACGGCCACAGCACACTAGCCGTTTTTTCTGGATACTTGTGAATTTCATAACACGCTGTAATGAGTATTATATTTAAGTCGTCGACGAATTAACGTTGGTGCGCTAGTGTATTATTATGGTAATAATAATGYTAGACGAGATGGAGATATCGCGTAAATAAGTAATAATAATAATAATATAGCCGACATAGCATTCAAGGGCGCCCGGTCTTGTTCAGTGCAAATGATCGAATAAAATTGCGGTCCGCTTGCGATCCGCCGCCCATTTTTATCGACGAAGGTATTTATATAGATTTTTTATACCTAGGAATTATTATGCGCCAATCATTTTTTTCTCATTCTCGAACCCATTCGCTCGAGTTTTCTGGTCCGTCGAATATACGACGCAGTTGATGACCTATAGCGATACAATGATCAACACGGCACAATAGTACTGCGGACCAAAATATAATTTGAAGAAGAAAAATAAAATTACGATTCTAAAGTTTATAGTGTTTTAACATATTATTACGACTACGTTATCGCGATTCGTGGCCGCACTTACCCCGTCGTTTCATGTGCTCATCGTCACCAGACTGCGCGATGATTACGGAACGTGTACAAAAGACAAAACACAACAATYATATATATATTTGTATTTTGAATGATATTATATGTAATGTATAATATATTAATATTATATACTGTTTTAACCACGCAAGGGCGCGATTCTGCCAAAATAATTCACTGGTCGTATTGCAATACTTTGTCACAGATGACATATTATTATAGAGTATGTTCTACTTGGCGATTTTCCAATTCGAACAACAAATAACATTTTTATTTTTATTATTATTATTATTATTATTACATATATTGTAATATTATATAGTTATTGTTGATAAACCAAAAACCCACATACCGTCTGAGTATATACATATGCGTCTCGAATATTTATGTATGACCATATTGTGATGTTTATGTGGAGGTCTGTTGCGTAAATTTCGTATAGGTACTTAAATAATATTATAATAATGACCAGAGAAAAAACAATATGTTTGATACGCAGATTACAACCTATATATAACCACACCTATATTATAGGACAATAAGTTTTTTTAAATTTAATAAAAAAATAAAATTACTATAGTTATCTGGCATTAATTGTCAATCATATTTTAATCATTTAATTTAATTCAAACACATACACACGTATACATATATATATTAAGTATGTATAGGTATCTGCAATGAAATACGTAATATGTGTATTGTGTATACATTAAAAATAGATACAAATAAAGAAACATATAATTACGATGTACCTTTAATATTATAAAGATTATAATAAAATGGTTACGTCGAYTGTTTACTTTTTTTGCTCCCAAAACTTCAATAAATTATAACCGCCTATAACGAACTACGGAAGTACGAATCGGAATAATTAAAAATACCTAATAATGCTCGATTTTTAACGACGCTAAGCAATAATAAAACATTTAATAACATATAAGMAGATTGCGTAATCTTTATATTTTAAAATATTTTTTTATTAAAATATTATATTGATAAACATCGTTATAAAAACTATCAGAATATAATAATATTGTATCCGTTAAAAAATCTCAGATATTTGATGTCCAATGTCGTTATTATGTGTTGTGTAAGACGAGACAAAAATWAATCTTTAGGATATCTGGTATTAAATTAGTATTCGACGTCAAACGCTGTTTATAGACATTATTCCAGTATGGATAGGATAAACATACACGTTGCAATGCATATGCRATGTGAAGAAATGCGTTTTTCCAATATTATTATACATTATCTATAATATAACAATAATAATAGCTAACCAGATACACTCTGAACTCGACGACCGACATAAAGTACACACACTTCTTGTGTACTATAAGTGTAAAATTATTTTATGCAAATCTTAAAATAATAATAATAATAATAATGAACGAACGTCGAGAAATCATTTGAAAAAATAATAATGTATACACAGTAAACAATAATTAATTTAAAAACGATAATTATAAATTATGTATGTATCGTTGATGGTCTACGTCGTATGTTTTCRTATGTATAATATTGTTTACGACCCGAACGACGCTCGACGATTGTTCGCTCATCTGAGCCTATTGTCGTTTCTATAGTCCAATGGCACTGAATTGTTAGCAGTAAATAGGTACGGGCTGCGAATCGTCGGACAGACGAAGTCCTTCATAATGAAATCCATCGTGTTCTCCGATTTCGTGCCAACGGGTTGCAACATGTTGTTCCACAACAAATTAGCAGCTGGAATTTGAAATAGAAAAAACCGAAGATTAATATGGATTATAATATAATTACGAGATTTGTTTGACTTGCAGTTGTCATAATATGTATCATCCAATATCATATCATTATTATGGTTATCAGGGGAGAGGGTAGAATTTTAAATAAGGGTCCATAGATCAGTACTATTAAATTGGTGGGGCTAATGTGCGATTATTGAAAAAGTCAATTTTTATGTAAAAAAAAAAAAGAATAAAATCAACCAAGCCCACATTTTAAACGTCCTCGATATGAAATTTATTTATTTTTACTTTAATATTACCTAACCTATTGCATAAACACGTGCAGTGTACCTAATATAACTATACTAAGTCTATATCTATACTAATATTATTGAATTAATAAAAAATTAAAATTATATTATAATATATATATGGATTAATCTCTGTAATTACTGAACTGATTCAAAAAATTCTTCCATTAATAAAAAGTTAAAATGTCCCTACATATATGTATATATAATAATGTATATTATAATATAGTTAGTAGTATCATAATATGTAACAAATGTTTTTCATTATATGTAATATGTATATATATGAAATTTAAGTACGTTTGACCGGGACTTAACCAATTGGCGCTTTATATACCTTTAAAAATCCCATTTTGAAAATTACGAAAATTGAATATTTGTTTTATGTATATTTAGRGTTCCCATTGGTTACAGAAATAAAAGAGACTTTAATTTACCCAATAGCTTTATACATAACAGAATCAGTATATTGTGTTTTTAGCTTATATATACCCAAAAACTACAAAACCGAATTTTACAAAATGTGCAGAGATTGGTGTTAGAAATATCAGAAAAATGAAAAGAGTAGTTGAATCATCTTCAAAAGTATATGAAGTGCCATATGCCTATATAACTACATACAATCCGTCACAAGTATGGATTGTCCATTTCGTTCGATTTAATTCACAAAGTGAGGTAACGGTGACGTAGATTTGACGGTTAAGGTACACTAAAATTGAAATACCTACACCGATATAGCGTCGTATTTTTATATATTTTGTTCTTTTTTTTCGGGCGAAGTCTAGTTATAAGTACAGTTATTAATAAATTATAAACAAAAAAACTATCAAACAATTTCGCATATGAAATACGGTGCAGGGATTATCAAAATAATGCAGACTAGYTCCATAATTTAATAAAATAACTTTTTYTTGGGATTATTGAACCCAAATACCCAATTAAAAATTACACAGTATTTGAATTTCGTATTTTCAGTTTCAACCATTATATAAATTATTATTATACATCAGAGGCTCTGAATAGTACAAGAAGTGGCTATAAATCAGAAACTGTACACAAAAAACGAATGTCAACACCGAAATCATGCAACGGTGAAATATACGAATGTAACGTTTTTGCGACTTTAATGCACTAATTACAACGACTTGACTGTAAAAAATTACAAGGAAGATTATTAATTTTATATTTAAATAGCTCGTAAACCATGTGGTTATTGGACTATAGATAAAAATATTTTTTTATTTATACATTTTTTTTAAAGAAAAAAATATTAGGACTGTACAAGTGTATAAATAATAATCAAAAACAATAAATATACATAATATTATGTAGTTATTATATATTATAGTTAGTAGATAGGTATATACGTTCACTAAAAAATCTCAGAATACATMAAAATCATMAAAAKTTTGAAATTTAATATTTTGACTCAGAAATTATAGTAAAAGATTTAGTGTCAGACAAGCTGATAACCGACATCCAAGGGTATTAAATTTATGAGGTGGAAATTTTTATTAACATTTTATTTTGTATTACTGTTATTTATATTAGACATATCATTTGCCTGCTTTATTCAAGAACATCGTCGTTGATTATTTGTATCTAAACAGTAACTCTTATAATTGTAATATGTGGTAGGAACTAGGAACTKTTATTTATTTATTACATTAAATTACGGAAAATGCTCAAAGTACCTATACAGTTAAAAAATACTTAAACAGTAAAAACAGATATACATTAAATATTACAGTGTTGAAACATATAAGACTTAGAGACTAGTGAAGTTCTCCTTTGCTAGTCTATAAWGTCTTTATTCTTCAGTTTATTGTCTATTAATTTATACGAATAGGTATAATAACTAATAATGGAATGCRCCAATCTCGCAGTATACATATTTGGTTTTTAACCTTATCTAGCAATTAATTAAAGTTATTATTGAATTTTGGTGGTCCATTAAAATTTTTTTTTAACTTTAAATAATAGTTTTATTTTTGTAAAAAGAATAGAATAATATTCAATTATTATTATGATAATTTTTTTTTCTTTGAATAATCGAATATTTACTTAGGTCATAATACTATTGTGATTCAGTTCTTTGGGTAAATTGTAAGATTGTGACCCACCGATCACAGACTACATATCAGTAGAATATGTACATGATATACTGTAGTTTGAGTRAAAACATTGAACTTGTACATTTTCAACGGACACTTCGTTGTACCTACCTAAAGCATGTCCCTTTTGACTGAAATGGAAACAATCGTAGGTGACGTACGATATGTCTATGACCTCTTCGAATTGCCGCTTTTTATCCAGCGGCGCGTTGAACAGTTTGATAAACGGTTGGATGACCACGGTGAAGTCTTCTTTTTTGTTATATCGACCACTGTTGATCTACAGAAAATCACAAAAATAGACATAATAAATTTGAAAAAAAAAACATTTTTCCACTATAACTATACTATATTATCTGTGGATACGCTATTTTAAATTCAATATACATCTGACTATTGTACATACAAAAAATTTTATTCAATTTTATATTGTTTAAAAATTCAGTAGGAATATAGCATAATATTTTATGCATGAAACACGGCTTGAAACTGAAATATATTTTTTGTCACGCCTGCACCGAAAGTTTGGTTTTCGACCACGGTTGAAGCGTTCGAAAGCGTCTTTTTTCCGTCCAGCGGGCGGTAAAGTGGAAATCTCCATAGTGCCGGGCGGAAAAGAGGAAATCCCCAAAAGCGCCGGCCACCGGGCGCGTATCCCCTGCACAACCAGAAACTAATATGTATACCTACCACGGTTCTTACAAAATATAAACTTTTGGTTACATCTTAAATGTATAGTATGACCTCCTTGCATGACGCATAAACATATTTAATTTGCACTGTTCCTAGATAAGTGCGTCGAACGATGCGTTAGTAATAATATAGTATATTAGTATAATAATCTTATCAGTTACAATAATAAAATATACAAAGTGAAAATTGTAATTTTGAAATAAAATAAAATGTCTTCCATGAAATTGTTTTTGTAGAATAGTCTATAATTGTTACATAGATCCCTGCATAACCTTTTCCATGAACGCAGGGGCGTGACAAAAAATAGTTTGTGTGGCGAGGGCGGGAAGTGAGCCACACAATATACTATAACGATTTTAGTTTTGCGAACGTGTTTATAAAATTTTACAGTTTTGGGAATGGTTTTTCAATATTTTTTTGCTATCTGGCTTTTACTTAAACATTTAGAAAATTGGATTATTTTTAATAATATTTTAAGCATTTTGTCGGTATATTTTACCCAGTTTTACTAAATATACTTTGTTTTTTATGTTTGTATAGAAGATAATTTTTAGGATATAAATACAGGCACATTTAAAGTGTTTTTTATATGGATTCAAGTCTCTGTTATTATAGTCATATATAGTTATTTACAGACTATATTTACATAAAGCATAATTATTAAGACGTTTTAAAATATTAACTCATTTTCTACATAAATTATTATTGTTCATATATCAATTAGTAAACTTATCTAATAATAAATTAATTATAAGTTATACTTCAACGATCCCATAATGAATTCATTAACGGTGGCTATGAAACACTGATTTTCTTCGTTTTTAGAAGAATATAATAAAAATATTTACTCTAGAGCACAATAAAAATACATTATTTTATGATAAGTAAAAAGAAGAATAAACAGCGAAATATTACTGGAAGAAGCCACTTGTGCACAAGTCCTCCAGCGCAGGTGACATTATCTTTTACAAAGGTTTGTATATTGATAACGGTTTAATGGTTACAGGTCTTAATAGCTTTCGGTTTAGGTTACGGTATTATAAACCAGCAATATAAATAGTTTTCTAAGGATGGGTTTCAACCCTCGGATGAAACCTACCAAAATCTGTTCGGCAGTCTGATAATCTCTGACCATTTGCGTGATTTGATCCATTTCGTCTCCCTTCTGATGGAAACATGTACAGAAGAACCTGTGTAGCATATGGCACATGAACGACCTCTTCACGCGTACGCTGACCGATACGTCTTCACAGACAAAACAAGAAAATAAATTATTACTATTTATTAATTATTATTATTATTATTACAATAGAATATTATTTCGAAAACGATGATACTACCGTTATAGATGTTAAAGTATTATACAATATTTATATTATGTATCAAGGGTGGTCATGCGTTTGAACGCATAAAATGCATTAATTTATTGGTAAGTGGTAAGTAAGTATTGTATGATTTATAATTTATATACTTACATCCTAGAAAAACGCATAAATGTACGTCATACGACGGAGTCATAAAAGGAAGATGAGTAAAAGAATATTGTTGTAAAATAATATAAAATCAGTTGTAATTCACTATACTAATAATAATAATAATATGCGTGTTCACTATATGGTGCTTCAATTAGAAATTATTAAGCGCGATAATATAAATATAACATATAATTAAGTTATTTCTCGTAGATAATATAATAGTTTTTAGTTTTACACTATAAGAATTATGTAATAATACCATAATATATACCTCCATAAGAATGCTAGAATAGTCAGGTATAACTACGGTCTTACATATTATTCGGAGACAGCATATCTTAGATGAAATTAGTTAAAGATAAAATATACAGATACTGTAAAAAATAAAATACAAATAGTATTAGGTACTGAATATTATTAACTTTTTATCGGGAAAATTATTACGGTACTGCCAATATTAAAGTGGGGAAAATATTATTTTAGAAAACATACCTATAGCAGGTACCAACTTTTAGGTACCTATACTAGAAAAAAATATTGTAAATTGAAAAAACATTTCTAGGATGAAGAATATATTTAAAAATTCTAAACAGGTCTGGCCTTAAAATTAACGCAATAGTCAATGTAGGCACATTCTAATCATCGCATCGACATCAACTGCATTATTTTTGTTAATTTATTAATATTAATTACACGGGAGACAATATTGCGAAACACCATCATGTGTTAGCCGTTTGAATAATACAATTTGTGAGTTCCCATCAATCGTGTACAGACATTAATTAAGTGAGCACCTACAATAAACAACGGTAACATACTAAAATAATATTATGTTGTATTATATTATTATATACTATAAACGCGACACGTTTACGACGTTCGCATTGACAGTGCACGCCGCGAGATGGCTTTCACTTTCGTTTCCGATATAAGCTCTTTTCGAAGTTCATTTCGTATGCGTAACGCGTTTCGAGGTTACTTTATATATATATACACCACACAATATGTTATGATATATATGCCACCTCCGTTCACGGTAACGTCAACCGCGGTATCACGAGACGACGACAGCCCACTTTCCAGATGTGGTTGCAAAACGCCGACGCCGCGTCGGAAATAGACGGATGGAGGCAAAATAAATGATAATTTATTGTGAACGTCTGATAGCCACGACGACGTTTAAAAAAATGACGTGTTATAATGGGCGTTATCGTGTCGGACTGCGTCATCGCGAGTGATGCACGCAGATCACAGACGTCAACGAATAACAGTAGGTAATTTATCTGCTGCGGTAACGACGACGACGAATAATATAGTAATTGGAAATTCGAACTTGTCGAGATCGACTTGATGTGGTGATACTATTATATATGTTATATTATATATAAAACTATTATATTATTATACTTTTGGGTTTGGCCCCTATTGCGGCAGACATCGAGCTGAGATTTGGATTACATACGTACAATATTATTATATTTGCTGCTATTTAGGTTGCAATGTTTATATTACTTTAATTTAGAATATTATAGTAATTTGTCTATATATGGTTGTACGAAGATCGCATACAACGATACACGCTGTATGAGTATTGTATATATATGTACAAAATATACCAATTTCATATCGTAATTGTTTTTGTTACCGAAGAAACGTGAAAGAGATATTCGAACATGATTTTTGAAAACGGCAGAATTTTAACGTGTCATCATAACAATAAACTTAAAATGTATAATGCCTATGGCCACGATAGGAGTATATAATAATAATAATAATGTTATGACCGTCTTTAAGTTTCCGAAAGATCTACGAGAGTGTTTCCGATTGTGAAACCATCAATACATGGCGTATATTATATCTCCGTTATATATCTGCAGGTATGATGTCACAAAAATAAGACGTCGTAATGAAACACTGCGAAAATTGCAGATGTCCGACGACGGCTTACGACCATTACACCATTCGTGATATAAAAAAAAGATTGGTCATCTGTTTTGTGATGTGTATTATTTCATCAATTCTTGGAAAAAGGTATTATAAAATGATGATGGAAAGAGTAAACCACGGTCAACGTAAAAACCGACAGCCGCGTAGCCGCCACGTAGTCGCATTGATAATAATACATTATTAAATTAAATTATAATATACCCCGGGCCCGAAGCGTTATATAACTGTGCAACGACGCCGGCGGTTGAATGAACGAACCGCGATAACGATGATGGTGCATTTTATTCCTTCATATACATTCCGTGGGGTCTGAGTCGTGAAAGTGAATTGGCGCGGCTCTCATTCATAACAAGCGTATAGTAATACAATATGTATATATATATATATATGTATACACAATATATTATATTATATGTTATATATATGTACATACATATGTGTAAGTGGGTATACGATTGGCGATTCAACTTAACCGAGTTTACGGTATAATATATGTCGTGATCATGCGGTAACCCCTCCAGTCGGGGAACACATTTTATATATCCACTGTTACCCTATCGGCACTTTAACCTTGTCGCTAACTTGGGTATAGGTAGACGTATCTTACGTGCAGCTGAGTGTACCATATATGGTGTATATGTACGCCGTTTTCACTTCCGACCGCTGATCAATGGTAGGTTATAGACCTAACCGGAACCGAGTAACAACATTTTTAAACTCGGCCAAGTTGGAAAAAACGTTTCGATTCTTAAATTTGAGCCAATTTTATTCAATATTATAACTGCATTGTTTTTGTCCACACTATTTAGTGACTACAGTGGTGGACTTCCGGGCGAGGAAAGATTGGGCACAGGATGAAGATGATGTGCAACGGACTGTATATAGTCAAGACATTATAATTGACAGAATTATTGACCGATGAACACGGTGCAATAATGCAGTTATCGCGCACTCTACCACATATACTTACGAATACGATGTAATATTATATTATATCTAAGAGCCGCAATATTGGGTAGTATTTTAAATAAGGTTTCAAAATACTTTAAAAATAATTTTCGAAATATTTTTATAAATAAAAAGGTATTTAGAGTACTTTTTGTTAACAATAATTGTTTACCTTGTTTTTCTGTACATTTTAGCAATTTTACTATTGGTTTAATTTTTTAAACTATAACTAAAAGTATTTCAAATACTATTTTTATTCAGTATACTATTTAAAAGTATTTTACCCAAGTCTGCGTATATGAATATCGTGAATATAAAGTGTACACACCTAAGACAGGTACGAGGTTCACGAACGTCCTAGGAAGATTGGCTTGGAGGTAGTCTAACGCTTTTTGCAGTTTCTTGCTGTGCTGTAACGGAGTCGTGCCATCCTTGTCGTAACACTGTCCCGAACACAAGTCGTTGGCGCCGAAAAACATGGTTATCAACTGTACAGAAGTAAAACGTTTGGATGTTATTAATCATACACAACATAATAATAATAACAATAATACAATATCAKAAATAATTAATATATGTCTACATACAAAGATTCGTTAATCACAACGCTAGATATGGTTGATGTATAAATAACTTGATAATTATGATTTATGACGTTTAATATTGTCAAATCCGGCACTCCAAATATAAAAACACTGATTTAGATGAGGTGTGTCACAAGTCATTACACTAATTGACCGTTGAGCGGCATAGTTGTAATACTCGCCGATTTTTAAAATTAAATAGTTGTCGTAGTCGATTGTTTTGAGTTTAGAGTGCTGGTCCTATATTATAATTTATACTTAGGTATGAATATCATGACGTATAACCTTCCAGTCATTTTTGAAATCCACGTCCGGGTCTTTTTTCATCTTCTTTACCAAAAACTGTGCCTGCCTGTACGCGTCAAAGTCGGCTGACACGGGGAAAGCGACGTTCATGTGAGAGTTAGGAGCGAGAAATTCACCTTTTCCCACTGAATAGCCCTTCAGATCGGGATTGAATTCCTTGAGAATGTTGGGCAATGTCAGGTAGTTCCGCCACGTAGCTTCGCCACCTGTGGTTAAAATTATTAGTAATGCATTTTTACACACAAACTGCCGAGTAGGTGTTAAACACGAACATATTAGGTTGAACAACATAGATACCTGTATAATATATTATATTTAAAACGGATCTATCGTACCTGCCGCCCAAGACACTCCTCTGTACTCGATCAACGTTCCCATGGCGAACTCTTCGAGCGCGCCGTTTCCGGCTACCAGACTGTCACCCATGGCTCCCACCACGTCAATATCACCGGGCCGGAGCCTATGCACGCTGGTCGGCCGAACAATACTCCTGCCGAGTCCCGGAGACGTCATGTTCTTGCACGGAAACGGCATCGATCCTGGAAACGATGGCTGTCTCCTGATACCCGTAGGCCCAGGTGTCATGACAATGTCTTCGCTCACGGCCGGCGTCTGCAAAGGTAAACGGAAATCATAAATCAATCGAAAATGATACATTTAAGTCGTATAAGTGTCAGACGTTTATCTTCAACATACGACTCGATCAATGTGTTTGAAATATATAAATATTAACATTTTTATACAGTGCTGTATTATATAAGAACGAACTTTGATTTAGACTAAACCGTTTATTCACCGTTTTGTTTTTTGAGCATGTTCATTTTTTCTACTGATGTCGATTAAAAAAAGAAGTATTCCTGTCGAATATAAAACTAGCCAAAATCGAAAACAATCGTTACATAGCTCTCCTCTATTTTAAGTCTCATTATAGTTGGTAATCGTCAGATGGCAGTATTCGCAGCTTTGTTGATTCACGTCTTCAAAACCTAATAAATTCGTGAACATCTGATCTTCGCTTCGTAAATTTTATAATCGAATTGGCCAAGTGAAAAATATATTAACGAAACGAATCTTTCAGAACACTTTATGTGAGCCACAAAACCAAATAAATAGAATGCCCATTAAGTCTCAAAATATGAACGAACTTGGTATAAACTGCCATTTTGAGTCTAATCGTGGAACAAACAATAACATTTATCTGCACGGTTACGATATTGTTTGTTATCATAAAAAGTGAATATATCACATTTGGTTAAAAGATACCTATTGATAACCATCATGGATAGCACCAGCATATTATCACTGATTTTTGGTGGAAAATAAATTATAAAATAGTTCTATCCGTGAAAGATCATGAAAAAGAACATAGACAGACTCAAAATGTCGAACCGAAATAGTCGGATTTTTTAAGGGAAATCATTTTCGTATAAAATCTATATACATAATACGCGTTTCATGTATTCAGTTTAGTGTTGTGTGTTTAATGTTTATACTGTAAAAATTAATATAGTTAAATTTACATTGTTATATTATGATATAAACGTACCATTCGGACATTCCTGCCATTGTTTCTGTTGGGCAAAAGCTGCTCATAGGTCAGCCTTTGAGCGGTGCACCACGCGACCGCGCAGAAATATATCAAGAGGTTGCTATTGGTTAACATGGCTTTGCTTGATGGCGTCTTTCATCGTGTGTCACTTTTCTCGTAAGTCCATTTTCGCAGAAAACTGTAACGAAATAATAACTTTATAATAATAATATCACATAGTACATAATATAACATATTATTATAAACAAATTTGACTAATATCATAATATTGTAAGAATCACACCTTAAGTGTTTGTCCCGTTTATCATCGCATAATAACACATTTAATATAATGATCATTTTACCGAATATTATAATGATTCATATTATTTATAATAATATATAATAGCAGCTATTTACATTTTGGTACACAACTGTTTAACGAGCGCAATGGCGTATTTGTTATTATTATTAATTATACGTCGTGTAGGTACGTCACGCGTTTCGAAATACATATACTGCAAGAATAAAAGTTTTGTTTCGTCTTCTTTCATCGTCGTAGACAACAAACAACGGACGACTGCAGAGGAATAATATATAATATAGTGTGTTACGTCTTAAGTTTATGCTATTATCATATTATGTACATCACACACACATTATATTATTATCTCATGTGGGTGATTTTATGCGTGTGTTACCTATTCAGACAACCATATTATTATTATTTTGTCGTCGCACCGTGCTTCATCATGGCTGCCGGTGGTACTCGTTTATTATTATTATTAATTATATTATGAGTGTAGTATTTATTTTATATGTGAATGATGGGTGTACTCTCTACTTATTTTGTACGAGAAGCTGTCGACAAGTGTCACTCTGATATATTATACTAAAAATCTAAAAATAAATAAAACCACGTGGCAATAAATAATAATATTTTATATACCACACGCCAGGCAGGCAGCGTTGTTTAGGTCGTCGCCAAACAACAATATTATTATACGTTTAATATTGTGTTGTAGTCATCATGAAACATACAGTCCTGCGTTATTGCGACGTGAAAAAACATTTTATATTACATTATATTACTTATATGGACCAGACACGGGCCCGAGGCGAAAAGACAAAAGACCGCGTAATGTGCGTTCTACTAGGTTCATTCTAAATTGCAGTAATTCCAATCGTGCTGCGCCTATTCGTAATTCGTATACCATGGTAAAGTTTTTAAAATGTTCTACGAGCCGAGTGAAAAAAATCGTTGGAGACATGATCATAATATGTCAGAAGTCTTAGGTAGGGTCGACGATGTACGCGTTGCAACTTGTAATATGAACGAGCCCGTCACAGAAACAGGAACATCGGAAAAGTATTTTTTTATGGTAGGTTCCTTAGAAAATATTCATAAACAGTAACACAATAGTGTCCAAAAATGCGTATTTATTTTTAAGTTCCTCAGAGCATCAAAGTAATTTATTCTAAACTTTTTAAACTATATGGTTGTATCTATTCCGGAGAGAAAACCAACTGTTTAATTCCCCAAAATAATAAGAAAATTCGTCGTAAATTTTTTATGTTAACTTTTTTTTTGCCACAGATTACATATCGACTTTTAGAAAAAGTGTAGTTTTTCCGTAGTTAACAAACAGACACGATTCGTCGTTTCCCATGCATTTTCTCCACACATATATTGTCGTATTCCATCAAAATACTGGTCTGTACGCATATATATCCAACCTCGCGGTGTTATGTACCTATTACTTGTACCATGGTACAATGACGTTTTATAGGTAGTGCAAATAGGGTCGAGCGGTACATTCTTTGAGTGCCGTTAATTTTTGTCGAAGATTTATATGTAAAAAAATAAAACAAAACACGTTCACTTGTCAAACGTAGCGCACCGGCACAGCCACTGCCGTCGGGGTCGAGATTCGCACGCATGCAGAAAACCACAAGCTTTCTAATGAGTTTTCTAAGGAACTCCTATTTCCATTAACATACAGTCGGCCTGTCGGAGACGAAACCCGAGAGCCCGTCGGGCCCGGAGACGTCGACGAACGTATACAACAGTACACACGTCATTATACAGGGTGATAATTTGTTTTCTGTCGTCGATCGAGCACTGATAATACATTATAATTTTACGTATGTGTCATGATATTAGCTTAATTTTTTTGAATTTTAGGAGAATAATAATTGTACTAGACATATACAATATTATATCGTTAAGAAATAAAACCAAAAATGTTGTAAGGTTCGCGTGGTTTATGACACTAACAAAAAAAATATCATCCTATATCAATAGTGCCTACGCAGAAAACTACAATAGTGCACTGCAACAACAATGATAAATAATATAATATTATTATAACGGTCACCACTGTATCGCCTAATTGGATTTCGTCGTCTATACGATATAACAGCTATTACTATAACATGCGCTAGCCATAAAACGAAACTCGAAGACAAAAAAAATAAAATAAATATCAAAACGCCAAAGACGAATTACGCGCATTGTAAATAAAAATTGCACTTAACACGTGTGTGCGTGAGAACCTAATAAACGAATGTATTATATATAAGTGCAGTTCATATATTATACATATAATAAGTAATAACTAATGACCATTACCTCGGGCGTGTCGCGTGTGTCTAAGCGTACCTACATTACTACGTAACAACGACGGCTATATAGTCTTCTGTCTGGTGGCCGTCTGACAGTGCCAATCATTTTTAAGTACCTCCACAATCATCAGATCTATATACGTCAATAATTCTCAAACTTTTTCGTTCGAAGAGCCATAAAGTTGCTAAAAACCCAAAAACTACAAATATCGATTTTAAATTAAAAAAAAAAATATGAATCATGATAATGATATCATCATTAGTCATTAGTTCATTACATATAATATCACAATGGCTTAAAAGTAGGTACCTATAACTAATAATAGTGAATTGTATTTAATATTTGGATGTTTTCACGACCAACAAGTCGCTAGATCAGTGTAGTAGAACTTTAATGTTCAACGGAGCATTGCAT